CCATAGCAGCAAGCTAACATGGCTACTGTTGGTACCTCCCAAAAAACTTTCTTTCAAAGAACACGAATGAAATTCAAAGGTTAATTATCTCCTCCTCTGCTAATTTCAGCCTGTCCTTTTACATGTGGACCTAATGCTTAAGGCTGGCCTTATCAAGCCACTTCAGATGAAAGGTCATTCTCAGCAAGTAATCTAATTGTAGGCTTCTATCCCAGAAGCATGTTCGATATTCTTAAGTAATGCTGAAAAATATGAGAATGTCATAAAGGACATTTAATATAATCTTCCCAATAATGACAGATGATTTGATGTAATAAAAAAAAAAAAGACATTTAAGTAGGCTGAATCACTTCTAATCACAACGCACACTTTAAGCTTTTTTTACATGACTTACATGCTATACTAGCTCAGTTATAATAACCTATGATTAGAAATAAAGGCTTGCTTTGATTTACGTTAATGACCACTGGTCATGAATATTATTATGTGTTAATATTAATATTGTTTTAAGTTTATGTTTGAAACTTAGTTTCAACGTTTCTAACGTGGATTTTCAATATTTCGATTTTGTTTTAATCAAAATCAAAATGCTTAGTTTAAGTGTTAATTTATTTTTAGCATGAGGTGCCAAAAAGAACCAAAATTAAACTCTTGACACAGAACTTCATGAACAAAAACCAAACCTTTATTCAGGCGCTGTATGAAGTCAAAGTATCTTAAACGAATGCATATTAGGAATAGCAAACAGAGAAAACAGCACAGGTTTAGTACACAGAGAACTTGACAAACGACAAAGGAAGACAGCAACTATATATATGACTGTAGCAGAGGGGAGACACCTGGGAAACTAGACACCGGTGAACTAAATTAGATAATAATTAATGAGGAAGTAAAACTGAAATGCCCATCAACATTAAACAGGAAGTAACATGAGACAGAGATGAAGCTTCACAAAAAATTACAACGAGACATTTGGGAGGCTAGGCTAAACTAAATGAATGATGCAGCTGGTCTGAACTCTAAACTGGGGGAAAAAACAGGATAGAATGTAACAACAATGTAACAACAACTAAAAACTAAACACTGAATGAGACGATGAACTGGATATAAAATGAAATAATAAATAGAAGCCAAGACAAAGGAAAACTAAAGCTAAATATGAAACTGACAGTTACAGTAGTAAAGAAACTCTAAACAGCAAATGTTAGGAAAACATCATCAAACAGAGAATTTAATAATAACCCTAAATTCAAAGTCTAAAACATAGGGTTCAAAACGACAGGACATAACCTTTTTATACAACATGAAGTATTTATTGCATTAAAATGTAATATGTTTATAGTAAGTTCACAATGTAGACACAAGGCTTCATGCCGTGCAGACGTCCCATTCACCAGGAACAGAAACAGCCTTTCCAAACCAGAACTGACAAGTTCAACCAAACTAACAAAGACTGAAACCAAAGACATACTCGCTTTATTTTTGTTTCATTGAAGGACATTGTAGTTCAGTTTTCATCTT